CCCCCCACCCAACCACCCTCCTCCACCGCTAACGTCGAATCGAACGTACCTCCATCTCATGCTTCACTTCCCAAACCTTTACAACCGTATTGCATCCATCTGTTATGTTAACGCAGGGCCCTGCGTTTGTATTTTATCCCCTTCCACCTTTTTTTTTTTTTTTAAATCAAGTCATCAAGGACGGTAGTAAATTTATGAAAAAATATGATTAAATTCCATGCATTTTGTTTTTGGCTTATGCCGCACACACAAGCTCCTGATTTGTTGTTTTTTGTTGTTTTTTTTTCATGGCATCCGTATCGGTCGTTTGCATTTTAGTGCTGCTGCTCAGACCGCATTTTCACACACACGCGCACACACACACACACACACACACACACACACACACACACACACACACACACACACACACACCCTGTTTTACCTCCATTTTAGTCAAGGCGTTAAAAATGTCTGTTTCGGTGTGGTGCAGCCAAAATTGTCTGAATTGATCATATTGTTTTATAAGCGCAAATAAAATCGAGGTGCAATTTTTCGCTCGATCTGTGTCGAGTGCTACTATGTCGCTAAGCATTGTTGCAGGCTGTCGACTGCAGTTTGAGCTACAGTGCATAGGGCGGACACACACACACACACACACACACACACACACACACATGCAGGGGCAGGCATCCAAGTGGTTCTGTAAAATCAAAGCGACATTTTTAGGCCCTCAAAGACGACACAAAATGGCGTTTTTCTATAGCGCATTTAAAGAATAGGACATGGTGGACGGGCGAGCAGTAAAATGAGCTTAGCTGTCCGGCGTCAAATAACAGGGAAAAAAAAAGCCCTGACTCGTCCTTTGATGAAGGGTGTTACGGATTTTTTTTTCTTTAATTCGGTAAGAACGATGAATAGATTTCTTTTCATTCTCCTTATTTGTTTTTTCTGGATTACACTTTCTTCCTTCACCTTTCGAAGACACTCATTAGAATATTTATATTTTAATCCAAAAATACTACTAGCCCCACAATATAATTGTAGTGCATTACCAGACTTGTTTTACTCAGCTTTGCCTTTTTTTTTTTTTTTTGACCTCACTGTCATCACATCTGTAATTATACACAAATGATATTTCATTGCATGTCTGTGTAATTTTCACCCGTACATTCTAATCATTGCCTTTCGATGCTAATGGGAAGGGAGAAATAACAAGGTTTTACTGCTTTACATCGTGAGCGATGGTGTCCAGTTTAATTTCGCCAGATGTGGTTCAATTTCCTATGTGGGGCTAGAGCTGAGCAAGGGAGGGTTCACCACGTGAGAATGTCCCAGGTTCACTGTCGGAAAACTTACGCTGTTCACTCTATAAGAATATATGAGACACACATTTAATGAGGACGTATTAGGTTCAGAGAATAGGCGAGGTTGATTGTGTGAGAACCGATTGGGATGACAATGACAATGCACAGGGGTGAAATGTATGAGAGCATTTTAGGATCTGTGTAAGAGAATGTCATGCGAGGTTTCATTCCGGGCTCCAGCCTTAACCGTGTGGAGTTTTCATGTTCTCACCGTGCCTGCGCGGGTATTCTCCGGGTACTTCGCTTTCTTCCTACATTCCCAAAAACATGCATGGTAGGTTCATTGAACACTCAAAATTGTCCTTACGTGCGACTGTGAGTGTGAATGGTTGTTTGTTTATGCGTTCCATACGACTGGCCGGCGACCAGTTCAGGGTGTACCCCCATTAGTGCTCCAGAACGCCCGCGACCCTGGTGAGGATTAGCGGATCAGAAAATGGATGGATGGATGGATGAATGGATCGATGGATAGATGAATATATATGAGTGATATGCAAACTTTATTAAATTATGTACGAAAGTAACACAGTGTGGCACCTGCATCTTGCCAATGCGTCAGACAGCGCGACGAGGATTGCGCAGTGCTAAGTCGCATCGCGTTGATCATCCCGATAAATGCATAATTATATACTAATAGTTCAATGATTCTCTTATACTCCTGTGCGTTGTGCTCAAATAGTTCCACTGATCGATGTTATTAGCCCAAATCATTTTTTTTCTTTTCTTTTTTTTTTTTTTTGTCGTAAAAGTGACATTTTGTTGACTGAAACTTTTTCCATATTAAGTTCACTTGCAAATGCTCGTGTCCGACTTCATCATTGCTCCCACCGTACGGTGTTGCAGGATATATATGTGTGTGTGTGTGTGTGTGTGTGTGTGTGTGTGCGTTTGTATGTATATATATATATATATATATATATATATATATATATATTATGAGTTTAACTGTAGGACAACACCCTTGGTTCTCTCCATGAGAACACGCGATCTTGACCGTTTTGAGGATTCCCATGCAGGAAGAAGTCGGCAGCTCGGACTCGAGCCGGGTGGAGATGAATAGAGCGCAGGGTTCGTCCCCACTTGGGTAATCCGATGGAGAGATTAGCAAGGAGGCAGCATTTGGACGGGATTATGGAGTCATTAGAGAAGGCTGGTGCTCCAGAGCCTCACTCATGTGTTAATGTGGCTTTGCACATCCTCCGTCTGCACAGATTGTCTCCCACATCGGCCACTAAATACTCTCACAATATTAAAACAGGTCCCGCGTCCCGATTCGTGTTCCGTGTTATTAATTTGGATTCAAAACAATGTTTAAAACGCCACAAGTAATTTGTTTCTGGTCATTGGAATGACTCTTGTCCGACAGCAAAATGGACACTGTAACAAAATAGGAATTTGATTTATTACAAATGTACAAAGTACAGAGAAAATATATGGGAAGATATAATTCTTTTGTGCTGCAACACTGAATTGAACTCGCATGG